CCCCCCAGCCCCCCCCCCAAAAAACCCGGGGGGAGCCACTAAATCCGTGTTGGCTTGAAGTTGGCAGAAGAAGAGAAAAGGCCATCAATGTGACTTCCCATGAAAAAGGACTCTGTGTTTCCTTCCTCTCCTCCTCCAATCACAGCCGACCTGCAGACAGGGCACCTTGAATCTAAGCTCAAACAACGCATGGGCTCTTCATGAGTTGGGACTTGAGACTGAGAAAACAGCCACAGACACCAAACTGAACCTTGCATACCCAGTGCTCATGGCTGACTGAGTTAACTTTTGTGAGCCTGATTCTCCTAAGGTAAAAACATATGATTCTAGGGGCTGAAGAGGTGACTTAGTGGTTAAGAGCACTGGCTGCTTTTCCAGAGGACCCAGGCTCAATTCCCAACACCCACACAGCAGCTCACAATTATCTATGACTTCAGTTCCAGGGGATCTGGCACCCTCAGACAGACATACATGAGGCAAAACATTAATGCACATAAAATAAAAATAAATCTTAAAAATATGTGATTCTAAATAATGACATTTCTACAGGGTAGACACACAAATATGAGGCCCCATGGTTGTATTCTGAAGTAGAACTGACCTGGACAAGAGCATAGAAGATTTTCAGAATCTGTTTCTGTAGCAACACAGAGTAATGGGAGGCATCGGGAAGTAACTGCAGGATTTGCTGCTGAATTCGAGGCAGAAATATCTGCATGGCTGCCAGGAGAGGCTCTCTTTCCTCTGCTTTCTTATATCTGCATGAGACAGAGAATAAAGAAGGTGATGGCTTCTCTCCTTCTCAATGAGATAGAAGCAAAGATTAACCACGTGAAGCCAGAAACATGCAAAATGCAGCTTAAATGTTCTATGCAGTTGGAAGGAATAAAGTTGGAAGGAACTTTGAGAGAATAAAGTCTTGGTTTGGGCAGACACGAAACCTTTCTTAAAAGGTTGGGACTAGTTTAAGAGTCCAAAACTGAAGACCTGCAATCCCAGTTCTTAGAGATATTGTCTCAACAAAAAAGAAAGAAGGAAGGAGGGAGGAAGGGAGGGAGGGAGGGAGGGAGGGAAAAAAAAATAAGGGGAGGAAGAAAGAAAGAAAAGGGAAGAAAAAAAAGAAAGGTCCAAGACTATCTAGTAATTTTATATAGGAAGTTTTCTAGTGTTTAAGTTAACTCACATCACATATTAATTCATTCTGTAAAATGAAAGCTG